GTAGCTGCTGACAAAGTCTAAGCCATTTGTGGAAAAGGCTGCCAGTCATTAGGAGCTCGTATCAGTTATCCTGATGTTTTAAATTCTCTGTCAAGTTGGGCCGCAAGCCCCGTGTCATGCACGGACCATGCTTTAACTCCTTGACCTCACTTGACCAGGCTCTACAACTGCAATCAGTAAATGATGCTGTGATGCGTTCTTCCAGCCGGCAATAGTTCATCTGAGCCCTGGTTCCTCCCTAGCCAGTGAGATGACCCATCAAATTTGATGAAGATGTTCACACACATTTGTTTCAGCACCTTACCGGTTTTAAATTATGTACCTCGGTCTTTGCATGTTGCTCATCTGATTCTGGTTTACTGAGCAAAATCATGAATACTAAGAGTATTACCTTCCCCACTCTGAGTCCTTTACATGCTTGCACGCAGCTTATTTTGTCATCTGAGGTCACTTATTTCCATGTCTTTGCAACAGGCAATGCAAACAATGCAACTCTTCATTCATCAGTTCGCAGCCTTAGTTTTCCTCTGATCCCGCACACCAGCCTTCCTTCCTGCTCTCTGCCTGCCATTCTCTTGCAGAGCTGTTCCACCAGCTTTTCCACTCCAACGTCCTTTCTTCTGTGAAAGCAGCGCAACGCAGAGAAACGCGCCTGTCGTCAGTGCTTAACCTATTACTGCTGTCTGTGCCCAGATTTTACAGCTTACCTTGAAGAAATACAAACGGCCAGGAAAGCTCCAGCAAGCCTTTCCAACACAGAGAGAAGAGAGCAGTCTGCAGAGGTGTGCCTGTGCTGAGGCTGCCCCGACGAGCAGAAGTGCAGAAGATGGGCAGAACTGGCTCCAGGTACCCACCCCCTTCCTTTCCAGGAGGCTTCTCCTGAAGAAAGCATCCTGGTAAAAGACTCTGAAAAGGTCCAAGCAACGTAACGTGGTTAAGGGCTCTATAAGCAGGGCAGAATGTCCCTACTGCTCAGCTGTCTTGAGCACTTAGATAAGTCCCTCCTGCATTATACAGCTGTACTACATGATGTATTGAAGGAAAAGGAAAAAAACAGCTGGAAAAGAACCTCTGCCTATGAACTTTGCTCTGCTGGGAAGGCTTGGGCAGGCTGCACACAGCACAGGTCAAAGCAAGGCAGTTTGGTTCACTCCTTCAAGCTATGTGAATAATCAGCAAAATTTGCTAGAGAAAAAAATGGCGTGGGACTAGCTGGAATAAGCAAGAACAACATATAATACCCAAGCAGTTCCTTAATAAAAGCTTTCGCCAAATGAACACTTCAGACTCCCAAAAGACACCTTCAAGTAGCTCTATCTTACTAGGCTTTGGCATTTCAACATTTATTACCACAGTCAGGCTACTATATTGCAAGTATGAGTCAATGCCTGCATCTTCTGGCTCCAGAAGAAAGAGACTGTTCTAATTTTTATTTATAACCTGGGCAGGCAGAGAGAGAGGCATTCAGTTACGGGCAAAGCACACGCTGCTCTACGAGGTCAGGTAGGCTGGTTGATACATGGACGTATTCGCGCCTTGGCGTCCTGAGTCACAAGTACCACAACCCATCTCTGCAATCTTCCATGTAAGCCTTGAAAAAGGGCATTTTTGTTGCTTTCCAATACAAAGCCCATGACCTCCACGTTATTCACCGCGGATTTCCAGCTCCGTATAGGGTACGTTACGATCCAAACCGAGAGTTTCTGGCAAGAAGCGCTTGTGAATATGTACACAGTATAAAACAGGAAGAAAGATTTCAGCTTATCTGTGTTCACTTGGGCTTGTCTGGTGCTTGGAAAAAAAAAAACTGGCAGGCTTCCCACCACTATGCAATAGTCTAGGAAGGCTCCTGTCACCTGGGGACTCACATGCTGATGTGTGAGTGAAGAGAGCAATCGCCAGGATTCATGGGGTTTTCAGCCTGATCCTAATAAACTCTGTCATGCTACTAGTGTTAAGACGGGAGCACTGAACAGAAACTGTCTTAAGAGCTACTGACAGCTTCTTTCCAAAAGCTAGAAAATGTTGTTTTCATGAGCTATTCCTTCACGCCAAAGCACAGAATGGATTTCCAAAGGTTTGTATCTGGTTTTATGCAGTATTTACCAGCCTCTTAAATTTATTCTGCACTCAAATCCTGCTTCCTTGATAAAGGAAGATAATATCAGCTTATATGAAATACCACATCATCTTACATCCCACACAAAGCTTTAGCCTGAGGATTTCCGGACAGATACAGCTCATCCAAAGCAATTGAAGGTAGTTGGGGGGTCATGGGATCAAGTCACATATGCATTTCCTTTCTTCTCCACCATCCCTCCGGTTAAGCGTGTGCTCCTGAATTGCTCTTTTGCAATAGGGTAAACGAGTAAACATTTTGGGCTCAGGAGACATCTGTTGTCTATAGGAGCAAGCTTATTTTGCCTTTCTCAGTCTGTCTTTGGAAATTTAGCAACCTATAGGAAAGAAAAATGGCAGAACATCTCAGAACTGTATTTTTTGAGAAAAAACAGCATTTGTCACTCGTACAGAAAATTTCCGACTGTCTCTTGATGAAAGGAGAACAAGCGCAGCTAGCCCTTTTTCACAGCTGACAGAACAGATACAGATTACGTGCCTGACAAGCACGATTTACTAAGTTAGCAGCACAAGTAGCAATACAGCCCTGGGCTTCCAAACCTGGTGCTTCAGCTTGTGGGCCATGCTTTTTCCATTTTTCTGAGTTCCTGGAATTCGTTCATCTCTTTCTGCGATAACAACAGCAGATTTTGAGTCTCTAAAAAATTAATATAGACTTACTGCAAAAGTTGAACAAAATTAGTACTTTTCATTAATACCTTTGCCGTTAGTAATGGAAAGAGACCAGCAGCTAGACTTTTATTGCACCCTCTGCTTCTGAAGTCCATTGAAGAGTAGGACAGTGGGACAAAAATAATTATAGGGGTCTTTCTACACAAAAGAGCCAGCTATTTAGAGGCAGGCAAAGTCATTTGAATGTCAAAGAAATAACCATTAAAAGGCTGAGAAGTATTGCCGTTTATTAAAAGATCTAAAGAATAGTTGCATGCACTATAGCAATCTTCTAGGTAGGAGTTGTTAATTTGGTATAAAAACCTATTAGGGACAGGGCAGAGCACAATTAAACAGGAGACAATAGACACTGTGAAAAGGAAACTGGCCTTGGAATTTTACAGCCTTCTATTTCGTGTTTCTACATGAAACACTATGCTCTATAATCTCTCCTCAACAACACCTATGTATTTCCAGCTCCCACAGTGTTTTGCGTTTAATTTCTAGCAGCGGTCCCCTACAGCCCAGGGAGGAAGGTAAAACAAGGTTACACACTTGAATGCCCTCCAGCTCTTTCCAGCCTCACGACGATCCTTCTTCCGAGAAAGCCTCTCATCAACGCCACTCCTTAATTGGCCCGAGAGCCCCTCTTTAAACAAAGCTCTCGTCTCCCACAGGGCCGAGCTCTTTCTGCTATTCTGGCAGAGCTAAATCCAGACAAGGATGCGCCATTTACCAACAAAAATGTACTATGAAGTCAAACGCACGGGAAAGAAGTGAGGTACTTCCAGGAGAAGTTGTTGATGTTCCGCAGGTAGAGATTTGCAGGTAGGACGGACCGCATCTGGAGAAAACTTTCTATCTGTGTGTAAGCCTGGCAGGTTGTTACTCCAAGAAAAAGTGTAAGACGCTAGTAATGCTGCTCAGTAACACGTACACGACCGGCCAGAGACCTTGGGTAGATTCTGCACTGATGCACTGAAGGGGAGCTAAACCAGACTGATGTACAAAACCGTGTTACAGAGCTACAGGACAGATAAAAGATTTCATGAGTTAGACAGGAAAGGACTGCACATCTGTAAAGATGACCGCTTTTTAATACTGATACAGATCAGTGAGAATATTCAGGTGCGCTGCAGCTTAAACCTCTTCTCTAGCAGTAACCCTGGTCTCTTCGCCGTCTGCCCACACACTGCCAGGGAAGTAGAAGTGACACACAAAACATACCCTAAATGTTAATTCCCTCGACTCTTATTCTGAGAGACTGCGGTTCTTTACGTACTCAGCTAGTGCAGCTAAGCATTCCACAGTATTTGAGAAAAAAAGGAAACACAAATGCCCACAGCAGGACTAAGCAGCAATTGTTCGACATCTCCTGTGATACCCACAGGCACAGAATTCTCCACTGATACACATCAGACAAACATGTCATTTAAAATACTTTGTTCTTTCTCCTTTATTTAGCCACAACACAAATACAAGAGCAGTCAAACCCCGTCCAGTGGGACTCACTAGATAAACCTGTTCAGATTAAGATCCTCATGAAATCGATGGAAAGATACACATACACACACACTCTCACGCACACAGGAACGCAGCAGAGCCCTTACAAAATGAGGAGCGGCACTGAACCGCACCTGAAAGTAAAATGCAACAGAAAAACTAACTGGTTAGGATACATCTGTTAAGCAACAAGGCCATGCACTGAACGGGTTCCCACCATACTATTCCATTGGCTATTTGAATACCAGCATCATTCATTTCAGGTGCAAATTTGAAGCTCATGAAAGAGTCTGATCTCAGTTACCCAAAAATACGGGGTAATAGAACAATTACTCCACTGTAACTCAAAGCAGAATCTGGGCCCGTGACATGAGTAGGCACATGACCGGCTCCAGCTGGAAGACGACTGCAGTTGACAACATTTTTTTCCCTCCACTTCTCCAGTAACTAAACTCATCACTGACATAGTGCGCAATTTGGCTTTCGCACCCCCCCCGCCCCGCTCCAGAGCAGGTAGTGCTCCTTTTGGTGGAAGAAATAGCGTAGTGGTTCTGTGATGTGAGCAAACGACCACTAGGGACTAGAGTAAGACCACCAAATATACCACACCGCTGCAGAAGATTTGGAAATCTGGCTCTTAGATAAAGCTGGTCAAGCTGGTCCATCTGATTTGTCAACGCTTCGTTCAGAAATATAAGACTCAAATATAGTTTACAAAAAGAGTAATTCTTTATAGAGCATCTCAATGTCAAAATACTAACAAAAACATCGCTTGTTAATGCTGAGTAGAGCGGTCTTGGAAAAATTAATAACTAACCTAGGCCATTGCTAACAATAATAGGTGATCTCTCTTCATAAAAAGGCGGTCTGACGTACTCGGGAAAAACAAAACATCTGAAACAAACTCTTTACAAAAGTGATTTAAATGCGCAATGCAGATCTACCACAAGTGTTAACAACCACTATTGTAATTTTATTTTTGGACAATTTCAGCAACTATTTTTTTTAAAAAAAAATTGCTAATAAAAAATGTAGAAAACAAAAAGAAAAATCCAGAGAGACAGTTTATAGGCAAACTCAGTTAAGGTGAAGCTGTACCTTTGTCCCAGTTATTAAGAACTTCAACTTTAAGCATGGCATAACCCAGCTCAGCTAGGTTTGTAGGCTTCCCCACCCTTACTAAAGAGTTAGTTCTTAGAAGGCTCCAATCTCAGTCCCCCAGGGTCTGTATGGTTTGCCAAGGGTTGCTGACTGCGTTGGTACAGACGGGCTCAGCACGTTGGGGGACAGCAGATGGAAGGAGCCAAACGAGAAGGGGAACGCAGAGAGAGATGCCATGGAGGAGAGAAGAGGAGGAGACAGTTTGGTAGTAGATGTGACCACGGGGAGCACTGGTCCAACGCTGCCATTTGGGGGCACTCTGAGTGAGGAAGTTTCAGCATGTGGGGCGGCAATTCTGGTCTGGTGATGTGGTTCCGTGGGAGACGCTGTAGTACTGGTGTTACCGTGCCCGTTTTGAGCCAGCAGCAACGGGTGAGATATGTGAGGGTGATGTCCAAAGGCACTGCCCCAAGGAATGTGTCCAATGCCAGTGTGCGCACTACTTGCTGCTTCCCGTTGAGAGGCGTAGTTATTGAGATGAGACACAAGTCGGACTCGCAGAGGATCGGAAGCGTCCAGACCCTCTATAATACTAAGGTATCGAGCAACTTCGGCCAGGCACTCTCGAAACCCTAGACTCCGATAGTCCATAGCCAAAGCATGAGCATCAAAATAACCTAAGAGAAAAAAGAATAAAGAATGGAGTCTTAAGATGCTGTTTTCTAGTCATTGTCTACATGTAGCCTCCCCACTCCACCCTCCCCTATAAGCATATTTCACTTGGATGTGGTTAGTATTCCCAACCATAGATTAGCTGCCAAGCTCCTTTTTTTTTTTTTTGTCTAACAAGCTTTTCTTTTATATCTGTGCTGCGATGCTGCAAGTCCCAAGACCAGTCACAGACTGCCATTTTTAAACTGAAATTGCGTACTGCCACTGGAGGAAAGTAGTTTTGTTCTTTTCGTGTCTCCCAAGTGCAAGTGAAACCACAGTGCAGAGAAATTCATTAGAAACACAAGCCCTAAGTTATCAGAGGGGACTTCTGCCAGCAATGTACTTTTTTTCCTAAAAACACGTTTTTCCATTTTTGCTAATTCTCTTCACTGCTCATTTCATCCTGTATTTTTTCTAGTTTCTGTTCTGAACTTTCAGAAAGTTTGAGAAACAAATATTTGACTTTCAGAAAGTTTGAGAAACAAACATTTGGCTACAACAAAAACTTTGTCTTTTCCAAGATGCCAAAAGCTGATTCACTTCACAGTGCTGACACATTCTTAGAGAGACTTGCAAACACTCTCCCCTAGAACAACCTGGAGCTAGCACCGTAAAACGTTTCTGTGCTAGCGACGCCGCAAATCTTGTCAAGCAGAAGAAAGTCCCAAATTCCTGACGAAACATAAGAGTTCCCATTCACTTTCTCCACACGCTCCC